CTACGGGTATGGACTCGTGAGTCGCTCGTCTCGATGTTTCATGCCGTCTGTTAATTGCCTCCTCCAAGTGAGCGAGAGGAATAGGTGGCTCACCTGTGCTGTGGTGAGTCTATTTCCTCTTCTGAGCCCTCCGAACTACCTACCTAAGTACATCGCGTATAGATCCTCTGTTCAACCATTCAATTAGGTGGGTCCTCTGGTTCGCTACGCAGCGATGTCACTCAATCGGGCACCATACCATAGGTGGAGGCATGGGTGAGACCTACTATCCAATCAAGTACTTCTTGTCTGTGTCTCTGACATCTAACATAAGGTGTCGGACACGACTTGTGAACATCTCCGACATTTCAGCATATTATCATTTCACTGAATTATCAATTAGTGCCGTTGCTACATCAATTGATTCTGCCTACAGTCCACGGACCAAGGTAAGCCCCCATCGATATGAGCAGGCCCTTGTCTATTCTTATCCTCGACATATTGCAAGGCTTTCGGTGCCATCCAGCTGGTCGGCAGCGTTATCTGTGATGTCTTAATCTCAATGTCACTGGTGTTTTTTCTCAACAAGAATCGAAATGGAGTACGGAAGTGAGTTTCTGGCTTCACCCAGTATCCCCGGGACGTCGTTAATGATGAAATGCTGCTTAGAACTGACAACATCATCAATCGACTCATTGTGTACTCCATAAACGTTGGGCTTGTGACAAGGTAAGTCTCGCACAAGAAAGAAAAAAAATCGTTTTGTTAACTTTTTGTGTCATGGCTTGTTTCTAGCATAATCGCAACCCTTAATCTCGTATTCGTGCGTGCTGCTGTGCTTCTTTTGAAGCACCTTTGTCTGAGTTCTCCTTTAGTGGCAGGCGTCGCCTCAGAACTTCAACTTTGTGATCTTTCACTACATCCTTAGCAAATGTACGTTCATTGACCAGGATTCCCTTTTCACAACTCACTCTATCCTGGGCTCGACAGTGTATATTAACTCTCTTCTCGTAACGTTTGTTGACTGCTCTTTTCATTGAGGATTAACCCATCTCCCTCAACCTTAGATTGAACTCACGGGCTACACTCAGAAAGCAAGCTGTGGTTGCTGATGCGATTTCGATGAACGGTCAGCCCACGATGACAATATTCAATTTATACCAATGCTCACAGCTATTTTCACGTGTAGACCTACGTGATTCTCATTCTCAAGCATGAAGTATGGCTTATAAGTAACATCGTCAATGGTAGTCCTACCGTTACTCTTTCAGCTCATAGTCTGGTGAGAAAAGTGTTTATGAGCAAGAGAAAGTCTGAGGGAGTGCCGGAGAGTCGAATTCAAGTCACACATTGGGGACATCCTCAGGCTCCCGGGGCCAGAGGAGGTATGATGATCGCATATGATCACTGGCCGGCCAACGACTTGCCACATAAATAAGTACCGCCTACGAGTGACTGTGTACTTGCATTGGATACATTCATTCTGCTCGATAAGTGAAGGGTAAAGCGGTGTTCAAGTGTAGGGGGGGGGGGGGTGCAGATGCTCGAAAACTCAGAAAGTGCAAGTCCAGGCTTGTGCTGAGCGACGAGTTGCGTGGGCATTGAGAATCGAGATATTTGAAGTAAAACGGTGCTTAGATTTGGCTTGAATCACAGTCATATTTGGAGTGGCCGCTATAAAAAGCAAGGTGGTTGTTGACTACGGCAACCGCTAGTATTATTAGTAAACGTTCTTCCAAGCCTCGACAGCTAATTTGTGAGTAATCCATAGAATGGGAATCTATTACACCCGACGCTTGATGTTCCGGCTTAACCACTCCAGGCCGTCATAAAGACCATCACCGGTTGTCGCACATGTAGCCTAAAAGCGTATTGAGGTGAACAAAAGATCCTCGCAAAGGGCAATGCAAATGTGGCTAACCTGGATATACCAATTCCTCTGCCTCAAACCATGTAGGCCAAGTTTATCCGTGATCTCCGAAGCGTTCATCGCGCCAGGATAATCCTGCTTATTGGCGAATACCAGGAGAATGACATCACGGAGGTCGTCCGAGTTCAGCATCTGCTGAAGCTCCTCTCGAGCCTCAGCGATACGGTCCTGATCGTTGGAATCAACAACGAAGATGATGCCTTGAGCGCCTTGAAAATCTAAGGGGTGATGCATATGCAGAGGTAAGAGGAATCGTATATGCGAATTGATGTGCGGGTTTCACGCACAATGTCTCCAGAGGGGCCGGATCTTGCCCTGCCCCCCGACGTCCCACACATTGAAGGAGATGTTCTTATATTCGACGTTCTCGACGTTGAATCCTACCATGAAATCAGTATAGGATTCTGGGCCAGTAGTCAAGGCACAGAAGACAAACCAATGGTAGGGATGGTGGTGACGATCTCGCCAAGCTTCAATTTGTACAGAATGGTGGTTTTGCCAGCGGCATCAAGACCGACCTGTTGTTCATGGATTAGGATGCGCCTTAGTAGGAAAAGTGAGGTGTTTTTACCATAAGTATACCTATTGTAGTATTTCTGATCAGTAATCCAGAGGCGCTAGAGCGACAATTTGAATATACGTACGAACTTCCCGTTGGCCAAAAAGATCGGAAAGGCCAGAAAGTAGATGAGAAATTGCGTGACCCATTCTTGTGAGAACGAAGGTGAAGAAATCGGAAGTGGACAAGTCACTGGGCTGCCTGCTACTCGCCCCGTGTACCACCACCTTTTATACAAACAATCTAAGTTGTCTGCATCGCCCATATTGTCAATGACACGTATGAACATTTCTCTAATGACTCGCTGTGAGCCATATACATCCAACTCGAATCGTTGCAAGTGGGCGACTGCGCACAGCACAGCCTATCTGGACAGGAGTTGTCATTTCTCAATGACGTGCCACGTCCACCCCAGACGTGTAAATACACGTCAGCACACCTGTGCTGGGTTCAATAGGGTTGCATAGCACCACATAGTCCCATCACGATAGTATCATGTAGACCGCCCATCCGAAGCTATGCCCATTGCCATCCGGGTCCGATGTGAAAGTCACTTAAAACAGTTTTGTAGGGTTGATGGAGAAGGGAGCGAAGCACGCCTACATAACGAAAGAAAGAAAGGTTGGTGTGACTAAGGAGGTTAAGAAAGGAGACTTCCCTGCTCGCCGATATCAGTAGTCATCCCGCCCGTACGCGTCGCCCAATCAGGCACCCATAGTTTGATCGCCCTCGCCCTCTCTCGGCCCAGGGTCCCGGTGTCCTCTCTTCATTGTCATGTCCCCGCCATCGTCGCATCGCCGCCGCGTCCTCACGTGGGCGCAGAATTCAATAGAGAGAATGTTTCGACCCTCTTTGCTTTTCTTGAGGTCGTGGTTAAAGGCACCCAACTGCAGCCTATTAGCTGATCAACAACTTACTGGTTTCACTCTACTCGTCAAACGGACGCTTCTCGCTCCCTCATGCCTTGTTAGCCTCGGATCGCTTGTTATCGCACGCGGAGGTAACATATGATCGTCTCGAGGATCTGGTTTGACGAACACAGGCTCCTCGTGCTCTGCAAGCCTCGATCGTGTGTATACGATGATGGCGAGGAAGTAATGGCATGATCGCTAGATCGTCCCGTCTCGCAAGCCTATGGTCGCGTGTCTGGAGATGATGGATCAGCAAGAACAACGATATCATAACTGCGAGGCTCAGGGCTTACCCATGAATCGTCCATCTGCCTCTCCGGTGCCGCGGGTGTAGCCTTATCCTCGGTAATAGCGGAGTTGAGAGACGGTGGTCGATAAATTTCAAACCTGCTTCATACGGATCCCGCCTCGTCATCACTGGCTCGGTATCCTGTTCCTCACGTGGCAAGGGAGAAGGCGACAGTGTGCGGTCCGGTCCTGCAGCTGCACCGGGAAACTAAGTAATACGTTTGTTAAATGACAATGAGGTTCGAGTGTATTCAAGATCCAGATGCACACCTAGAAGTAATTGAAGAACAACTTTCAACATGGTAGAAAATCCAGCGCAGTGAATTTCAACGCTTACCTGTTCATCCACAACAGCCGTAGGGCAAGGGACAGGCACGACTAGGGGCCGTTTCGCGGAGGTGATATGAGATGGAGGGAGGGGAGCCGGCGATGGAAGAAGCTGCATTTTTTTTGACTTTATCGCGCTGCGCGTGTGGTGCTCCAACCTCTCAAGTATTTACCTGCAACACCACCGCTCTGGGCACACAGAGACATAGTTTGTGAGAGCATCAGACTGCAGTATATCCATCTGTGTACCGAATTCTAAAGGCCCGTGGTCGAGCCCAAGGTGCCCCCAATATCAGGCGTTCAAACCACCTGCTCTATTGACTTCACGTGTGGCGCTCCACCTTGCATAACCACCGCTTCAAAAAATTAGCCGGAACAGGAGTATAGCATCAGACTGCAGTGTTTGCTTGCTTGAAGTCAAAATCTGAAGGCCCATGTACAATCCACGGTGACCGCGCTCGTCAGAGGAATGTCGGATTTGAATTCATCGCACCGTGTGTGGCGTTACAATGGACCAACTAAGCACCCGTCACCCCACAACATCACCGTAGGCAGGTAATGGCGGTATAGCACAGCTGAGAGAATCAGATTAAAGTGTATACCCGCTATCGTACATTCAAAAGACCAGTGTTCAATCCACAGTGCTCTATAGATGAACTGTGATGGATATTTTTGCTTAGTGTTGACAAATACAACTCGACGGGTGGAGAACACCATAGACCAAGGAAAGGGAACCAGCAACGGCGGTGTAGCCCAAGCCGAGAGCATTAAACTGCAGTGTAGCCTCTTGTGAATGCAAATTCTGATGACCTGTGTTCCATCCCCAGTGCCCTCATGGCATACGGCTAACATATTAGCGTAATCACTTTAGTAGCGCACACGCATGAAGGAAAAGAATAGTGATGGGGCATCCCATGCCAAGACAACACACAATTGCACGATCTTTATATCCAAGCGGCGCACACACGCTGTACAACAGGGAGAAACCTGGAACTCGAAGGAGAACGGAGGCATAGCTCAGTCCGAAAACGTCAGACTAAGTTGAGGTCATTTCATTCTGAAGACCCATGTTCGATCCACGGTGCCCCCATCAGCTGAGTGAAGAAGACGCCTGATCTTTTACCAGGTCTAATTTATGTGGTGTACAGACACGACCACACGACGACGCCACGAAGAGAAAACGTCAAGCAAACGGGAACGGGGAATGCTAGTATGGGGGTATGGCTCGGCTAGAGAGTGTTAGGCTGCGGTGAAACTTCCTGTGAGTGCACTTCTGCAGACCCGTGTTCGATCTGCGATACGCACACTAGGGATAAATCTGGCTGTTTTATGCCTCGGAGTTCCAGCACAGCGTTTTGCAGCGTTTTGTAAAGCCCGAGCCCGAGCACGCCCAGGGGGGATGACGGACAGAGTGGATAGAGGGAGGGAGCGCGGAGGGATGAGGGCGAGGAGTAAACAGTCCGAAGCGGATAGTGGGAAAGAGGGGACGGGACGAAGACGGTGGAGGAGAGAAGGGGATGGAAGAAATGACGGAAGGAAGAAAGCGAAGGTGGGTAGTGAGTGGAGAGGGAGAAGAAGGTATGGCGATGAGTTGGAAGGAAAAGTGAGAACGCGGAGAAAGAGTCGCCGGCGCTGAATACAACACCACCCAAAACTGAGTCATAGAAGTGAGAAGTGGAAGTGGACAAAGTCGAAAGCTTCTCCACGAAGACACTGACAGTCGCGCCAACCGGTTACCGGAGGGCATGTACGCGATGGTTGGCTTTTCTGCCATTTGTTGTGACTTTGATCGGTTTCCGGAACATGATGTAAGCAGGTGCGCGTTTGTTGAGTTCAGTGAGCTCTTTGTGTACTTGTATACTACTTGACCTCGTCGGAATATCGACTACTACTTTGAAATGATCACTAGTATACCTCTCCATTCTCTACAACCATCATACGATTTTCCAGTCCAATCGTTCGTTCCGATCTCAAGCGCCGTTTTCCATCTATATATTACCTGACACCTCGCACGGTTCCTCACAACCTTTTTTCGATGTTTACATCGGGGTCTATCAGCAGAAGAACGTTGTCCTCCAACCTTCCTCTGCTCATCAATGTAGATTGTCCAGAACTGGGAAAAGAGCCGTATCAGAGGACCGCGCGAGGTGTGTGCCTATGACCGCGAGCCTACATCCAGCCTCAGCTGACAGAAGCAACGGCACCAACACCGCGACAAAACCTGAGACCCCCACATTGGACCACATTGATGCACCAACGATCCCCAGCCCCGTTGAAATGCTGCGGCAACAACTACCCACGCTCATGCTCAAGGAAGCCACTGGCGCTGCCAGGTCGCCTGCACAAATGCGATCCCGGTCAACATATCACGCGCCGATGCATCTCTGTAACCATACCATAAAACGACATGCCGACGCCCATCAGCGACAATCGTGTGCATGGAAACTTTATAGGCCCGTCAACAAGGTCTTCCTGCCACCTTTACGCCATGCACCCTGCTCGTAACACTCTTCAACTTGCTGCTTGGTCTCTCATCGCGTTGTGCTGGCAACCGGCAATAGGCAATCGCAGGGTCAAGGAGCCCAGTGACGGCGAGAAGACGGTAGCGTCCATGAGCGGCCGGGGCTGTCAGCGAGGACTCAGGATGACAACCATCAAGAGAGCGCCAGCGGGGAGCCTGAGGCGCGCTGAAAACGTGTTGAGTTGTAATTCAGCCTCTATGGCCAGCCATGCTATTCTCATCTGTACTATTTCTGCTTTAGCTCACACAATTGGTCGCTCGGTGACCCCGCTATCCAACCATCATCCCTCCTCCCTTTACGAAGTGTTTAGTGTCTTTCGGAGTTCTTTCGACGGCCCTTCTTTCTACGGGTATGAGCGCAGAGCGACACGACTTTTCAGTTTTTTACATTTTTTCTTCGGGTTCCGCAGCGGTTCAATTAAAACAGAAGATCTTATATTCACTACTTGAATTGATTTCCTGAGTGACCAAGCCAAACCTGCGGCCGGAACGTAGCGATGACATGCCTTGTGTCCCATGATGTCCCATGATCGATTCTGATGGAAGCCTGGGCCCTGCTTAACTTTTCATTTCATTCAGCGAACTTGACTCGGTTCGACATCTCGGTCTCTTTTGAAAGCGACATTGATCGTTCAAGCCTCATGTTTAAAGACTCTGTTGATACATAAACTGTTCCTGATCCAAGTACGATATGTACCACTGACTGTCCCAACTTACAATTCACCTCCATCGATCGCTCTTGTCAAGTTTCTAACTTCCACTATGCTCGAATCCTTGACCAGCGACAACGAACAGACTGGGATTCAGTACTTATATTCAATTCTCCCACCCGGACAAAGCTTACCCTCTCTTTCAGTGCCGCATCGCAAACCGTAGGACCAGCCTCGAAAGCCCAAAGCCTATCTGGAGCTCTGAAGAAGCCTGAAGTTGATCGTATACCGGCGCTTACGGAGCCCCATCAATCGGCCAACAACACACAAGTTTTCTCCCAACGAGAAGAAAACAGTGACGAAGACACTTACAATGGATCCAATCGTTACGGGTTATCTTATCCTCAGACTTCGATTTTCTGATACTGGTCCCGAAAATACAGTGCCATCTTCGTAAGTGCGCCTGATAAACCAAAAACATGCACGTCCCCTCAATTCTGGTCAGAAACCCAAGCGCAAGTGATATTATAGGTGACAATCCAGTACTAGTAAAATACCCGACAGCACTTGCCAATCGGAAGTAAGTGTTGTCAACGAGCCATAGATAGGTCCAGCATTTGTTGACGCTCCTCAGGATCACGGACAAGAAGAAAAGGCCAACTTGGCCACATTTCGGATTCTCTAAGCGCTTCCAAGGAGGTAAATACCCGGCCAGCGCCGCATTCATCGGCGATCAAGACATCGTGATCGCGTATGTGGACCTATGAAAACGCGATACGACGACTGACCCAGGTGTTTGCGTTCTAGCGTTATGGGGAGGGTGGGTATCGAAGGAAAACGCGCAGTAAGCGCCACTGTGCCATGCACTCGTGTTCCTGATGACACTCATCGATCTTAGTTCATTGATAGCGCCGGTGGTGGTAATTGCAATGAACCAACCATCAGCTCCCCTCAAATCCACTTCGTTATCACACGGAATGCTTCCCGGGCCATCTATCTGGTTTATACGACCGGCCTCAAAGATCAGAAACTGACTGAGGCCATACGCCAGGTGACGAACTGGATTTCTTCTGCGTATGTGATATCATATTCTCACAAGGAGAAATGACCGTGCCTGATACCCTTTCAAAGATGTGGCGAGAGTAGAAAGCTTTCCGGCTTAGTCTATCTCGAAGATTCTTCAACTCCGCCACCGACAGAACTATCACGCAATGCTCTAGATCTCCTTGACCAGTGTGTAGAGCGCCTCAACATCATTGTTGCGACAACTGGATGGGCGGACAACGCCACTACGACACGATTGGAATGTCGACACAAGGAACTCTTGGAACAATGGAAACCTTTTGTCGAGCGCGGCGTGAGTGTGCTTCGATTGTCAGCTCGGGAAAAATCTTCGCTCCACAATTTCCATACTTCTGGGGATATTTTGAACCTTATAGCCAGGAAGGCCGAGAATGTCACAGATGCGAAGCGAGCCGTGTGGAAAGGCAAAGAGAAAAAGTCAGAGGACACGTTCATGGATGATCCACGAGACACTGACCTTGTCATCCCGTGAGTTATTTGGTGTGTGGGCTTCTGGAAGTTTGCTGAGGTTGACATACAGAGTTATGGGGCCAACTGGAGCGGGTAAAAGCACGGTAGGGATCTGACCCGGTTCATTATTAGCCAAACACTCAATCATCCACGTCAATAGTTCGTCAACTATGTCGCCGGCAGATCGGGCGCTGTGAAAGTGGGCAACGGAACCGAATCCTGTACGACACACTTGCAGCACGTCTTTTTACCCCATCCCACGGACCGCACTCGCCGAATTGTTATTGTCGACACTCCTGGCTTTGATGATACTCATATTTCCGATAGCGAGATCCTGCGGCGTATCGCTGTCTGGCTGGCTCAATCGTATGTCTTAAAAACATTCTTTAGCTCGACAAGGCTGAAAACGTCCACTAGATACTCTGCTAACATGACACTGGCGGGTGTTATTTATTTGCATGACATATCCGAAGTCCGACTGCTGGGCTCTTTTCGAAGGAATCTTGACATGTTCAGGAAACTGGTTGGCCAAGATGCTATCAGGAACGTTGTTCTAGCAACCACAAACTGGAGCGAAACATCAGACAAGGACGGGAGCCGTCGCGAGAATCAGCTCAGCGAGCGCCACTGGAAAAACATAATCGATCTTGGAGCCAAGCTCGTTCGCTTTGCGGATTCTAAAGAATCTGGCTGGGCCATCCTAAACCATATTATCAACCAGTCCGACGTCGTTAGCGATGTCGAGATTCAGGAAGAACTGGTTGAAATCAAGAAGATACTTCCCGAGACTAAAGCCGGGCAGACATTGCTTTTTACACTCGAAGAACTTCTTGAGGCGCAACGCGCTATTGGTGCCAAGCTTCCAAAGGAGGAGAGGACAGAAATGGAGGAGAACGATCAAAAGATACGTGCGACCTTGAAGCAAATCAACGACCTCACTGGCGATCGACTGCGAGCCTGGTGGAAAAGGCCCTTCCCTGTGAGTGCATTTCGACAAACTCGCATCGCTCTTTTTGAGGTTTTCTCAAGGGTTACTTTTGGTCGCGTGGCTCTATCGATACCACCAGGGCCTCACGCGCCCCCCGGTCTCCATAAACAAGTATGATTCAAGACTTTGCGCTCGTCGTTCACCATCTGGCATCAATCTCCCATGTGTGTCTGGCAAAATCTCACATTCCTTCCTCAACCTCTCTGTCGTGCTTCGTTGCTATATATAGACTCTTGATTGCTACTACTTAGTTCCATAGATCGCTGAGTAAATTAATTGGGCATTCGCATTTGCTCGAAAGTGATCCTGGAATCAGAGGTCCATATTGGCGGATTGACGTAATCTCTTCTCGTTTGCGTCGTGCGTGACACGTGCTGCTATGCATGTTACATATCCAT